AGTAGAGCAGTTTTGTTGGGCTGTTCAGAGCTAATTATAAAACAGCCAGGGAAATTAAACCACTTTAAAATTGATTAGTTTGTTGTTTTTACTTATCAATAACAAATCAGTGTTTAAACTTTGAGTGGTCATCAGTAGACAAACTGGGCATCACAGCTAGCTGAATGACTTACAAGAGGGATACTCAACCAGCCATCATTTACTTTTCCTAATGAAATGGAAAAGCAAGGAAGTAGTTAGGGAAATTTGAAGCAAGCACTAGAAGTCCAGCATTACAGTACATTTTGCAGAGATGCTAAAGCCATAGTTTAGTTATAGTCATGTTAGACTAGGAATAGTGATTTGTAATGAACTGATTCATGATCAGTTGTTCTGTTGTTCTTGGCTTCCTTCGTGAATTTTTAGGTGTGTATGGGGGTGGGGGGGATGTGAGAAAACCTTGATCTATGCAGGAAATAGCCCTACTTGATTATGTAAAGAGTTGTCACTTTGGATGGGCTAGCACCAGCAGGAGAGTGAATTTGTGTGGGGGGTGGAGGGTGAGAAAACCTGAATTTGTGCTGGAAATGGCCCACCTGTTGATCACTTTAGATAAGCTATTACCAGCAGGACAGTGGGGTGGGAGGAGGTATTGTTTCATATTCTCTGTGTGTATATAAAGTCTGCTGCAGTTTCCACGGTAAACATCTGATGAAGTGAGCTGTAGCTCACGAAAGCTCATGCTCAAATAAATTGGTTAGTCTCTAAGGTGCCACAAGTACTCCTTTTCTTTTCGTGAATTTTGTCTCTCTGAGGAGTCAAAGAAAAGAAACAGCAAGGGAAGCCATCAGAGTAAGTATTAGAAGTATAACACTTATAGGGCTGATACTGGAAGCATAGGTCCAGAGTCTGATGATGGCTACGCCAGTGTAAATGCAGCATAACTCCATTGAAATACACTGTGTTCTATTAGATTCCCTCCACTGTATCTGAGAAGAATCTGCCCAGGGGCTTTCCTTCCCTTTTTTATTAATTCAAGTGATCCATTTGTTTTTACATATTAATTGAAACATATATTTTATGTTTGTTCTCGTATTAGTTGGCTGACTTAGGTCATTTTTAGTGCTTCTGTAAGGAAGGGACTTATTTGGGTCAGGCATAATGTGAACAGGTGCTATATATGTTTCCTCGCTCATTTCTGCTAGTGCACCTCAATTTTGACCTATGTTCCTGACCATTTCACTTTTATTCCTGGGCCCGTTTCCCGATAGTAGCAGACGTAGGCCAAATTGTGTAATGTCTTTGAGATGTGGACAGATATCCATTGGGGATTAGGTTGAAGTAACTTATTTTCACTTCTGGCAAAATTTAAATGTAACCCAAGTTTCCAGAGGTAGAAGGAGGCTAATGTATTATCCAATTCTGCCAGTTAGTCTGTTCTGTTTAAAAGGGCGCTGTCAACTTACAAATCATACACAGTATTTTTTTCCAGACAAAAATATTCCTCCAGCAGTACCTAAGATAAATTTAACTGAAAGAGGTTAGAGGGGGAAACTCTATATTAGTTTCCAGTTTGCTCACACCATATGTATTTGACAGCCCTTCGTGTCTAGTTAGTTTTATTGTTTCCTCTGTACAATGTCAGTTTCTCCATTGGTTGTGCGTGTGTGAGACACAGTGACATGAGAGTAAGAAGCATTAAAAGATGGAGGGAAAGGAAAATGTGATTATAAAACAACAACAAATTGGTGAGAAGACTTAGATGCAGGTATAATACCTGAAACTACTTTTAACACATTTGAAAAGAACCAGTTCTCAGATTGACCATGCCCCTTTGAACATTATTCCATCTTAAGTAGATACTAGCCAGTTCAGTCAGCTGATAGAAGTATCACACAAAATAACTTAGCCCTGGTCTACACTTGTGGGAGAGGGGGTCGACCTAAATACGCAACTTAAGCTACGCGAATAGCATAGCTGAAGTCGGCGTATCTTAGGTCCACTTACCTGGCTGCAAGGATGGCAGCGAGTTGACTGCTGCCATTCCCCCATCGACTCTGCTTCCACCTCTCGCGAGCTGAAGTTCCCGAGTTGACGGGGAGTGTGTTCGGGGATCGATTTATCGCATCTAGACGAGACGCGATAAAGCGATCCCTGATAGATCAATCAGATCTCCAGATCCAGCGGGTAGTGAAGACCTGCCCTTAGAAGTGGTATAATAGTGACTGAAGAATAAAGGGAAAAAGGAAGCTTGAAAGGGAACCCAAGGCTGAAGTGCAAGCTAAAGATGACCTTGTAAAGTTTAACGTATATTTGGAGGGCAGGGGTGAATAATATAACTGGCCAATCAGTGGGAAGAATAAAAGTAATTCAGTCATTTTGGCAAATTTCTCATATTTTTGCATTATTTCAGCCACAGTTCTTCCTACTTCCTCCAACAGCGCCAAATTCTGCCCTTCAGTGTCTGTATGCCTCTCCCATTAATGTCAGTGGGAGTTATATACTCACAACAGAAGAGAGAGTGTGGACTTCCGGGGTCTCTTCGCCTCTCCCTTTGTGAACAGTTGTCATTGATATCTGTGTTACAAATTTTGGGGAAGATTTAGCTCCCATTGACTTTCAGTGGGACTTGTGCTCCTAAATTTTGTAGGCACTTTTGAAAATCTCCCCCTCCATTCATACCCAATCAATGGGAATGATATGTACTCAGGCTGGGACTATATTGAGGTTCTTTTGAAAAATCTTCCCACCTTTTCTTTAGGACCAGTGTAGCTTCACCAGCGTGGTCAGTGTCGTCTAGTTGCTGGCATTTTTACCACGGTATCACGTAGTCCTGTCTACACCATTAGCAGATAGCACTACCCATTGTCACTAGCACTGGTGGAGTAGCAATGCTGTTACAACAACGATGGCAGATGTTCACCAACAAGCATTTCAGACACATCCATAAGGAGAATTTAACAGACCTCTTGTGTCTGTTTATCCACTTCTATGCATGAAATTCCCTCTTAAGGATTATACTATTCATGTGAAATGAAAAAGAAACACACAATACCTCTGAATTTAAGAACAGGTAATTCTGTTTCATTGAGGAAAATAATGACACATTATTGTGTGTTATCACTTGCGTCTTTCATTTTAGCATCAGACAAAAGCTCTGTAATCTTCTAGCCTAAAAGTTTGCTCCCCTTTCACTCTGTATAAAGTATTTATCTTGTGTGGCTAAGTGATTTTCAGTTGGGAGTAGCAACACAAAATAATGAGATACCTGGAAAACATAAATGGAACTTTATTATCCCCAGAGAAAAACGGGAGAAGAGAAGAAATGGGGCTTTAGAACCTGGGACAGTTAATCAAAAACAGGCACCACAAAAATAAATATAAACTTAGAAGATACCTCTCTTCCATTCCCAATTTGGGAGCAGTATAAAAAAATATAAATTTCCCAGAAACTTGCAAATCAATGGCAGAAAGAATAAGATGTAAAAAGCCATACTGTATCTTAGACACAGTGTCTCCCTGAGCTGTGTGGAGAAGAGCAGAACAAGAGAGATGCCCTTGTATTATGCTCCATGTGGTAAGAACATCCCCACCCTGTCATGTATCATTAATGGTATTTGACTGATGAACTTTTATCACGACAGAACACGCTCTACCACTTGATTTACAGGAATAGCTATCAGCAAAAGAAAGCTGTTATCTGAGAAAGGGGATGAACTGCTAGCTTTATGTACTGGGGCTCAGAGTGTTTGTGGAAGTTTGACCTGGTGCTTTCTCACTTCCCCTTTTCCTATCTCATGTGGTTCCCCAAGAGAGGTGAATGGGATTGCTAGGACCATGTGCTGATTCTGAGGGGTATGGTGAGGGGTGGGATGGAAGGGTTAGCTCATCCTGCCATACTTTAGTTCTGTCCCTGCTCCTACCCTGCTACAGCTGCTCTGACAGTTCCCAGGCATCCCTGGTGCAGGGTCTGCTGCTGCTACTGCTCTGCTGCCGCTTTGGCAGCAGTATGGGCCCAGCTCTTCAGAATGTTCCATTTAGTAATTATTTTTGTATGCTCCAAGACATTGCTGATCAATGCAAGTCAGATAAGGGAAATGGGAATTTTTAGCAATTTAGAACTCAGCTTAACCTAAACACATTTTATGGGATAAAGAATAAACACTTCTCTAGCCTGAGGGCTCTCTCCCTTGCCAAATTTCAAAGGCTTCCTGCAAACTATGGAGGTGTAGGAACTTCTTTAAAAAAGGCTGCAAGAATCTTTTACAACTGAAAATGTTATGCAGCCTGAAAATTGGGATTACTACAAGCTTCCCCTTTAATACACACGTACTAGGAAAGTATGAGTATTTTGATGCGAGGATCTAATGGCCAGCCCCCGATGATGGATTTAAAGAGACGGGTAACCAAAACATGAAAATAATGTGGGGTTATTCCTTTAAGCATAAATATTATTTACTTAATTTGCATGGACTACCCTATTTCATACCACGTAGTAAGGGCAGAATAAGCCACTTTTTTGGTACTTATTTCAGAGGGTTCTATACCACACTGTAAAAGAAATAGCTGCCGTTAATGAAGTTTTGTTGTGTTCTGTTTCAAAGGAGCAGCTATTATCTTCTTCCTCTCAAAAGGTGATAACTGTAGTTTCAAAATAGTCAAAAACATGCCTTCTGAAATCATCTGAGAGGAGACAATTTGTTTTTAATCACTTCTGCTATACTGCAGTGATTAAGTATTATTACAACTTGACTACATACTATGCACACAACTAGAAAATTTACCAGACTACCTATAATAGATTCTAGGTCTGTATCCCAGATGTTTATTAATTCCCATTAACTTTCCATAGTTCAGTCACCTTGATGTGTCACCTGAACTCCATTACAATAATTGTGTCTGTTTTACTTTATTGATCTATCTAATATGAGGAAATGTTAAGTAGCATCTCAGGGAGCCTTGGCATGTATAGGCAAATATAAGTGTTCATATTATCTAATTTTTCGGGTTTATATTTGCAGTGCATGTATTGGATCCCAGGATCCTTACTGTGGCTGGGACATGGTGATGAAGAAATGCACAACACTGGAAGAAAGTCTGAGCATGAGTCAGTGGGAGCAAAGCATCACTGTGTGTCCAGTAAGTCCAAGAAAATTCATTGACCTCTTAAAGTTCTTGAGTTCATGTGGATCTCATGTAAACTCGTCACTGTAAGATTTCTCAGGCTGAGAACGTAATTATACACAAAGCACATTGCTTCAGGCCTTTCTGCTCAGATGTGGACTGTAAACTTATTTGTTTTTCAGTTCATAGCCAACTAATTTGCAGTATGTATAAGAAATTGTTTGCAGTTTTATATGGAGCAGTCAGCTTTCTTCCCCCAGTGTAACATTCCCACTTTGAAGATGAATATTCACAAATTACAGCAAAGTGGTTTTCCTTCGAGAATGTTCCCCCTACTTTGTACTGTAAAACCAGATTTTAATTGCTAGAGATGGAATCTTGCCCCCTGAGGTTGTTATTGCTAATTTAAAAAGTCACATAACAGTTCACAAAGTTCACTAATTGAAAAGGTGCTATCTTTCCAGAGACAGAAAGTGGATTTTTTGGATGCAGAAAACCCACACACATAATGACATATGAACACTAATTATAGCAAGTATAATATTTATGACTACTCAAGGGTTTTTGTTTTTTGTTTTTTTTTTTTAATTTCATATGGTCTCTCCTGTTTAGTCTGGCCTCAACATTTTAATATCGTGTTCAAAATAGGTAATGAAATAAACTATTTAAATAATAAAATATTTATTATTATTGTATTATGTATCGGTACAGATAGTCTTTTATAAACAAAGAAGAAAATTCCCTTCCCCAGGGAGTTTGCAAACCAATGGCCAGATTCTGCTTCCCCTGTTCATGTTGAATAGTACCTTGCTCCTGAAATAGTCCCATTGCATTCAGTGGGATTATTCTAGAAGTAAGGTACTACTCAGCATCAGGGTGGTAGAATGTATCTGCAAATTAGATTGATAGCATAATTGGAGCAGACACCCATCCAAAGTGGAAGGGAAGGATGGTAGAAAACAGAATCCTCAGGAAAAGGGAACACTGCTCTTTGCAGAGTATGATTTACAAAGAGCAAGAGTAGACAATATGGAGGTGAGAACAGGAAAGGAAATCAAGCAAAAGACAGATTAGAAGAATGTGGAGACACCTTGCACTGAAGAAGAGGGAGGTTGTTTAAGGCACAGAAGTGGCTACAACTGGTACTGATTCTTGCGTAGGGAGAAGAAAATAAAAGGAACAGTGAAGCAAGATGATTGTACAGACCATATCGAACAAGAGAAGGAGTAGAAGGAAATGAGAACTAAGATATAAGCAAGGAAAGAGCTATATGAATGCCTGAAGGTGAGAAAGATGAGACAAAAAGAAAAGGAGTACTTGTGGCACCTTAGAGACTAACCAATTTATTTGAGCATGGAGCTTTCGTGAGCTACAGCTCACTTCATCGGATGCATACTGTGGAAACTGCAGAAGACATTATATACACAGAGACCATGAAACAATACCTCCTCCCACCCCACTCTCCTGCTGGTAATAGCTTATCTAAAGTGATCATCAAGTTGGGCCATTTCCAGCACAAATCCAGGTTTTCTCACCCTCCGCCCCCCCCCCCCCACAAACTCACTCTCCTGCTGGTAATAGCCCATCCAAAGTGACCACTCTCTTTACAATGTGTATGATAATCAAGGTGGGCCATTTCCAGCACAAATCCAGGTTTTCTCACCCCCCCCACTCCCCTCCAAAAACCACACACACAAACTCACTCTCCTGCTGGTAATAGCTTATCCAAAGTGACCACTCTCCTCACAATGTGTATGAAAATCAAAGTGGGCCATTTCCAGCACAAATACCAGCAGGAGAGTGAGTTTGTGGGGGCGGGGGGGCGGAGGGTGAGAAAACCTGGATTTGTGCTGGAAATGGCCCAACTTGATGATCACTTTAGATAAGCTATTACCAGCAGGAGAGTGGGGTGGGAGGAGGTATTGTTTCATGGTCTCTGTGTATATAATGTCTTCTGCAGTTTCCACAGTATGCATCCGATGAAGTGAGCTGTAGCTCACGAAAGCTCCATGCTCAAATAAATTGGTTAGTCTCTAAGGTGCCACAGGTACTCCTTTTCTTTTTGCAAATACAGACTAACACGGCTGTTACTCTGAAAGATGAGACAGAACTTGATGTGTAGTCAAGGAGTCAGTGGAGGGTGGGGCAGTGAGAGAAGATGATTTTTAACTGCAGTGTTTTGGATAGACTAGAAGGGGGAGAAGAAAGGAAGCCAGAAAGAAAGGGAGGTTATGATAGTCGAGATTAAAAATAGCTGGTGCATGGGGCAGGGGGTTAGCAGTCAGGGTATAGAGAAGTCAGATTTTAGACATGTTACAAAGGAAGAATGGCAGGATTTTTTCAAGATCCTGGATGCTGAGAGATTCAAACAGGGCACAAGCCTGGGTATCAGGGAATATAATTCAGTTATCATTGAAAAGGTTGAGGAGAGGAGAGTGACTTGAAGGATAGGTGATGAATATAGGAATAAAGTGTCATCCTTGAGTTTAGATAAAAAATACCTGTCTGAACTGTCTCCCCCAACCTGACTACCTCCCGGTGCTGCCCAAATGTGTTTTGAGTGCTCTGCGAGGGGGCTTCTCTAAAGCACTCAGTTTTGACCTGACACTGCTCCCACTGAAGTCAATGGCTAACTTCAGTAGAAAAAGTTAAGCTAGTATTGAGCATACCACTGTCTGCCTTCCAAAACTGACAGTGAACACTAATTGGGGGTAAAATCCACTTGGAGACATGCTGTTTTATAATGAAAAACTGCTTGGATGCTTACACTTTTCTGGTAACCAACAGTTAGTGCTTTAGCATCAAGTTCACAAATCCCTCTCAGTATTTTTGTATTAAATACATACTAAAGGAAAGAGATTCCCCCACCACCACCCCTTTCGGAATATTTGAGATCATCTTTGGTGTACAAATCAAAATGTGTATTCTAAACACTACTCTCAAATGCATTTTGAAGCTAAATCCCCTTTCAAGTCTTTTAGGCTTTTCCTTATCATGCTCATTGTGTTAAAGAATCATAGAATATCAGGGTTGAAAGGGACCTCAGGGGGTCATCTAGTCCAACACCCTGCTCAAAACAGGACCAATCCTCAACTAAATCATCCCAGCCAGAGCTTTGTCAAGCCTGACCTTAAAAACTTCTAAGGAAGGAGATTCCACCACCTCCCTAGATAATGCATTCCAGTGCTTCACCACCCTCCTACTGAAAAAGTTTTTCCTAATATCCAACCTAAACCTCCCCCACTGCAACTTGAGACCATTACTCCTTGTTCTGTCATCAGCTACCACTGAGAACAGTCTAGATCCATCCTCTTTGGAACCCCCTTTCAGGTAGTTGAAAGCAGCTATCAAATCCCCCCTCATTCTGCTCTTTAGATTGAGGGGCTGTCTGTAAGCAAGATTGTTTTCCAGGATAGGTTGTAGATCGTTGATGATGCACTGGAGAGGTTTTAGCTGGGGGCTGTATGTGATGGCCAGTGGTGTTCTGTTTTTTTCCTTGTTGGGCCTGTCCTGTAGTGGGTGACTTCCCTGTACCCATTTCACTCTGTCCATCTGTTTCCTCCCTTCCCCAGGTGGCTATTGTAGTTTTAAGAATGCTTGATAAGGATCTTGTAGGTGTTTGTCTCTGTCAGACATCAGGAATGGTAATGTACAAAAGCCAGTAGGAGAACACTTCAGTCTTCCTGGACATTCAATAACAGATTTAAAAGTAGCCATCCTTCAGCCAAAAAACTTCAAAAACAGACTTCAAAGAGAAACTGCAGAGCTACAATTTAATTGCAAACTTAACACCATCAGTTTGGGCTTGAACAGGGTCTGGGAGTGGCTGGCTCACTACAAAAGCAATTTACCCTCTCTTGGTATTGACACCTCCTCCTCAGTTATTGGCAGTGGACCACATATGCCCTGACCGAACTGATCTTGTTAACACTGGTTCTCTACTTGTAAGGTAACTCCCCTCTCTTCATGTGCCAGTATAATAATGCCTGCATCTGTAATTTTCACTCTATGCATCTGAAGAAGTGGGTTTTTTTTACCTACGAAAGCTTATGCCCAAATAAATTGGTTAGTCTTTAAGGAGCCACCAGACTCCTCATTGTTTTCTTGAAATGTATCTGAGTTGTATGTCTCTGGCCAAGATTACTCTAGTCCTTTCCTTAGTGCCCCTCTCCCGCAATGTCTATTCATGCTTATACAAAAGAGGCTGCTTTGGGGGTCATTGTGGGAGTTGGTGGCAATAGGCTGATGAATTGGTGGGGGAGAGGTGTCAAAGGAAATTCCAGATTCTCTTCCCGCTTCCTAGCGGGAAGGGCACTTTCCTGGTGCAGGACCAAAAGTGATTTCCTCACCTCTGCTGAGCTTCAGTTGTTCCTTCTGAAGCCCACCTGATGCTTTTCCTCTGCCCCTTCCCCTCTTCAAGCCAGTTGAGATGAAGAGAAGGGGCAGCCCTTACAGCACAGTTCCTCTACTTTTAACAGCAAGGGCTCCTGGAAGGCTCCTGAACTTCTGAGTCCCTGAATGCTGGGAAGCTGTTGAGGAGAGAGCAGGAGGGGATGGATTTATGCCCATGTGACATCTGTGTGTGCTATAAGCACATCCTAGCAGGAGCCTCTCACATTCCGGAATACAATCCATGCCAGTGAAGGCTAGGTCACCACCTGTCCTGCAACCTGGGGTACCTTGCAATGCTTTGCTGCTGTACCTTCCACCTGGGCCTCTCACAAACAGCCAAACCGCATGCAGCTCACGTCCTGTGTGTCTGTGTATAGCTGCAGCCCTGTCCTGCAACTCTGACCACAGCAGCCTGTCAGGAAACATAAGCCACACTCTGGCTGCCAGCAGCCGTGGCTACTACTTGCAGGGTGACCACAACACACTTCCAGTCCCAAATTTTCCTCCTCAAAAATGTGTTCTCCACTATCCAGCCCTCTCCTGGACAGTTCAGATATTTTGGGTCTGTTGCCTCTGTAAGGGAACGATATTGAACAGTTTTGCTATTTTAAATTGAGCTACCA